CAAAAAGCCCACCTCGGCCCGCTGAACACAGCGGACCAACCCAAAACGGATCCGGTTTCGGCCGCGACCCGAAACCACCTTCCGTGAAACGCGTCGTCGTCCGAATTGGCTGGACCGTTGGAACTGCGGTGCTGCGACTTTTTGGAAAGGACAAAAGTTTGACACTTGGAAATTGAGTTGGAGTTCTTGAAGTGAACATTGTGGACACCCCAGTTTCGCAGTCTAAGATCCTCGACTATAAAGGTAAAAGAACACCAGGTTTGACCAGTGATCTCCCATGTTCATCTCAGATTGTGGTGTGCGACCGCAACTTTACATACTTTGCTGGGTGTGTGCGGGTGTGTGCTGTACCAAAGCTTCAACATGCCTCATGACATAGTGTAGAACAGTGTATCCTTCACAGTGATTCCAATAGACTAACAACTAACGCTATATCTATGGCGTACTAAATCCTGGGGGAAAGGTGAGGATACGTGAGCTATACAAGGTAGAAGAATTGGATATGTTATTTGTCAGTGGCTTCGTGGGTGTATCTGAGATTTTGTGGGCAAGCTGTGTGGATCACGAACTACTTTTCTTCGGCATCCAAGGGCGGGGCGATGGAGGTCAGTGGCAGCCAGAAGTCCTTCTCTTGTCGCAGCAGCGGCGCTTGTCCTCAGTGCTGTGGGCGTACTATTCTCTTCAGCTCGCAGCAAGTCAGGGTGAAATGGAGAGAGGGAGTTCAGGTGGGTCATATGCAGGTCATATCGAGTCATATCCTGTGTTTTGGGGCGTTTCAGTCCCGAGTTCGGAATTCCAAGTTCGAGATGTAACTCACCAGGAGGTGAGTCATTTGAGCTCGTTCAGACCGTGCTGTTCACATCCCTATTGGAAGAAACCGGAACCTCAAGACGGCTGGCTCGAGGCTCATCCAGGTGCCGGGCCAGGCGTAGTCTGAGAATCAAGCACTTGGAGCCAGTCTGACATGAAGGAGGGGAAAGCCATGAACATGATCCTGGCCCTTCCTTGAAAGAACAATTGAAGAATGGGAGCCTCCAGAAAATAGGAGCCAACCCCCACGATTCAAAGTGGCCATCCACTAAAGCCCATGGACATAACATATGCACCCCATGCATCCTGGGGTCCTCTACCCAATTCAAAGGCACTAGTACATAAAACTGACTGCTTAGTAGGGAATCGGAATGAGGAAAAGACCTCCAACTAGAGATACCTAAGGAGGCTCCATTCCCTCATACTAAGCACTAAGCACTAAGCCCCAGGTCCGATCCTCCAGTGTCCGGACGCGATAAACCCGCCGAACGAAACGGCCCGTCCCAGTGACGGCCATTGATGCTGTCATCCTGGCCGTGCCAAACAGGAAGGCGCAGGTTCCGCCCAGTGTTGGTGCTCCCTGACTTCCCTGACTCTCCGTTCGGTTTCCTTTTTCGTCATACCAAGTCATACCCACTTCTGAATGCAGATTTCGAGGTCACGATCTGAAAGAAAGGAAACTGCGGTATGCACAAACCTATGCTTCTCTGAAAGTCTGCCAGGACGGTTCTAGTTTCAGGAATTGGAGGATAGCGTTTCAAACACGGAGATCTTGTGTACGACAAGCATGTTTCACTGGCTAATGAACTGGCTCCTGTCTACCTGTGACAGGTACGGTACGGTACGGTTTGGCAAAATCCTAATACATACGCTATGTATATCTCCACTATATATTATATATGTTTAATTGTCTTAATTATGATCCCAAAGATTCCCACAGTATATGGCTTGGTTCGAACTTGGTCAACCGCAAGTTGTTTGACGCTCAGCAATTGTGGGAGTCAACCACATGGGCCTTGTCACGCATGGAAAACCCTCTCTATACTTCTCTATACATTCTCCTCCACATGACTCTTGTTTCAATAAACATCGCCTCTCCTTCCCTTTCAGTTCCCCTCACTCAGGGCACGGCTGGAGAAGGAAGAAGCAAACACACACACAAGCAAAAAAACACACAAGAAAAAGGAAAAACAAGCACAGCTGAAGGAAAGCACTCTTGAAGAAAACAAAAGGACTCTTCACAGCTGAAGGAATAAGGAGACACACGAAAGAACAAGCTGGCATCTTGCTCACACGACATCTTCTCTTCTGAAACGGCACCCTGAACAAGCACCCCCACAGCCGAACTCGGGTGCTAAGACCTTGTGGTAGAGCACCTGAAAGCCAGCGGCTTCCACTGCAGCCTGGCGTCCAGCTGCGCCCCGGAAGGACACCGAAGCACCACTCTGATGCAAGGTCCCTCTGGAAAATGCTTATTGTAATGAGGCCCCCTATGCCTATGCTCAAGTGTACGGCGAAACAACAAATGAAACCAAAACTCGAATCTATATACCATATAGATATATATATATAGTACATATTTAGAACAGGCAACTATGAGCCATCTATACTAATAATATGTACTGTATTGTACACATGGGACGTCCCAGCGGCTTCGAACCGAACTCGCGCCCGTTGCGGTTCCACCGGGGGAACCCGGTGGACCGACACAAAAAGGGATCAATGACGTCATGATCCGGTCTCTCGTATGTGGGTGTGTATGATGAAGAAGGTATATGGTTTAGTTGTTGTATGTTGTTGTATACTGATTTGATTCCAAGGAGCTGTGATTTTGTAGATGGGATGTGTATGTTCGGAGAACCCCTCGCACCTTCGCACCCCCGTAGACTGGGTAGACTGGTCTATTTTTCGGTGCTTGGGAGGTCTCCCTAATTCAGCTACACATCCATTAGGATGCTTTTAAAGGTGACCTCCAAGGATATTGGCTGAACATAACTCCTCAGGATGTAGAAAATACTGTCTATATAACTCCAGTAGGATGCTTTTGATGGTTTGAATATTTTGAATGTACAACACCATAGTGTCCCACGGTAAACTCTTAAGTGATACAATCTGATACAACACTCTATTCGAAGTTGTAACATCGACGATCGACCACATCGACGACGAAGTGAAAAACCGCCGGCTGCGCCTTGAAAGCCTCCGGCAGGCTGGTCTCAACACCTCCGAGCCTCATCGCATCGGAGAAATCGGCGCGAAAGGGTCGACGCCTTCGAAAGCCGGTCGATCGTGCGGTTAGCCGCACCGTCTTGGCCGGAGCGGAGCGCGGTGAGCAGCGCCATCTCGGCTCGAAAATATAGAGAGTGCTGTGAATGGGCCACCGGAAGCACGAATCGACCAACCGTGTGTGTTTGATGTTGAGTGGTGAATGCGACCTTGAGCCCAAAGAAATCAGTGGTCTAAATTGGTGTCAATCATTGTTCTTGAGATAGTGCAGCTGGGATTCATCAACACTTATTCACTACTCCGTGCATTGCCAAAAACATGCAAGCTATCTTGGCACGACATTAAACATTATGAAACATGTCAGCAAATACATCCCCCTCCAGTCTGGGTGCAAACACTCACGGCGATCCTGGCAGTTAAATTTAAATCACCCCCTGTTCGACAACACTTGGGGTTGCTTTGAATTTGTTCATCACGTTTCTAATAATAAAACATATTCATACACATTCTATAAGCAATCTCACCAATCGATCAAATAAGTAAGAGAGTTGTGTCCTGATACGGGGATCTGAGACACGAGATTTGAAGGTGTAAAAGTTAAATGGCTATTGGTCTCCCTTTTCTTCTAGCAGGTTTTACGTCTTCTTGACTTGATCGCCGCAACAGGGTGCTCCAAAGCATAGGCACTGACACTGAGTGGTCCATGATATCAAATTATCAAATTCCAAAAAACAAATGGGTTTCGTCATCAAAGGTCATCTACATGACCGACTTGCTTGACACCAATCTACCTTTCAATAGTTGCAGGGCTTGATTCATCCCAAGAGTCACTGGCTTGTAGAGGTTCTTCAGCTCCACATGATACGGGTTGCTGGCGCTGTAGTTTGTGCCTGGTGAGGGTTCTCTCTCTCTCTCTCTCTCCATCCCTCCTCTCAAGGACTGTCTTTGTCTTTGTTGTTCTACTGAATAGTGACCTAGATATCCTTCATTCCAAAGTGGCTGGTGGGCATTGATGTAGAAAGGGATCCCTTAACGCACCATCGTTAATCATTTACCACGCAACACTACCACAAAAAGTCATATATATACATAAGAGTGTCTGGTGAGGTCAAATTCTTAGAACAGCATGTTGTTCAAGCCTCCACACTTAGAACATCAGGCAAAACCCCAACAACAACACGCTTAGAACATCTTGGTGGATGCTCTTCAGATGATGTTTGTTGTTCACTTTCCATAGCACATCATCTCATCTATGTACACTTCTTCTTGTGTTCATGTAGGGCTTGACACGACAAGATTGAACATGGGAATGCTCAGCCAGACTAGCTAAAGCCAGTGATTCCAACGCAGCAAACAACCACCTCCATAGTGGTTCGACACAAATATATAACTGCACAACAGTAGCCAGGTGGCTTGTGAGCACCATTCCAAAGCAACACTCATTGGATTCAATTGGCAACTTCTTGTCCTTCTACTTTATATAAACCAGATTGTGTTCCAACTAATGCGCTTCCCATATGAGATGGTCAAATGAAGGGCAAAGAACATGGACATCACCTGTTGAATCTCCCAAACAATATGATGAGTGTGCCTGGGTCGCCCATCGTCCAACTAACCCGTCGATCATGCTGGTCCTCTCATGCATCAGGCTGGCCCAAAAACATCGGCCAACAGGAGTCCATCTGAACATCTCTGAACAAAGTACTTTGCCATACCCAGAGTCCATACCCTAAAGGGATGGTCATTGACCTACCAAAGTGGTGATGGGTGTGTAATCGGGAGACCTCTCAGTCTACGCCAGGGCCAGGGGTCTAAACAAATACACACCCATCACCCAGCTACTCACAGCTTCTTGGATCAACATCAAGATACAACTACATAACTAAACCATATACCTTCTTGAAATTACACACAACAACAAAACCATACGGCTGATCCCGGAGGTCCAGTCCTTCTCTCCCATTTCAGGCCGAGGTTCCAAGGACATAGTCCTCGAAGGCCACCCTCCCACCAGGCTTCACCACTCGATACACCTCCTTGAAGAAGGCCTTTTCAACAACTCACCCGGCAGGAGCGTCGGAACCGGCAGGGAACCGGAAGGACGGGATGGCCACTGCGCAGCAAAAGGACCGGAAGGACTCGGTACTATAACCAACACATCCAAAAAGCGGGTGGAGAGCAAAAGAAGTATCTTGACATCGAATCATGGCTGTCTTTTGGTGGTTTCCACTCTCCTCAGCTCAACAGACAGCGGAATCACAAGAATCACAGGGCAGCTGAAGCTGAACCCACCGAAAACCTTGTTTGGACCGGGCATTCCCGATGGATCCAACCATCTTTCAAGTGTAGGTCCAGCACCCTATCAACATCCGTGGATCCCCTGCACCGAACGTGCAGAAGCTAGGGAGGGACCCAGCCCAGGCACCCAGCCCAGGCGGCGATTGGCTGCTCTGCGACAGTCACGGGCAATCATGGGCTCCAAAAATTTTAGGATTTGATGCACACTTCTTCTTGGGGATGATCCATAAAGACAAGACATGTCTACCTACATCATGAATGGCACACTTTTCTGTCTTCCATTTCTCTCCATTTTGAGATTTAAAGACACATCCAGATCCCACGTCAAACATGCCACGGATTCCGGGAAAAAAAGATGTGCGTGCCGACTTTGCTGGTATGGGATGCGGGATGAGCTTTCGGCTGTCAGTTGCTCTCAAAAAGAACAAACACAGGTTTGTGCGAGGTTGGTACTATAACACTGTAACCTGTATGCTCATTCCAACAAAAATCGGCATATGATGGCATGGTGAGCCTGTCACTGACTCACTCGATCTTTCAATCTCGTCACTCGGATTCGATTCATAAGGGATTAATGTTTGGATTCCTGTGTTTTTTTTGGTTTTGTTTTTGTTAATCTGGTTTTCCTGCCAACCTACCAAGTATTGACCCAGAAATCCAGTTACCACAGAGTTTCCCTTCCAAAGGTCGAGCTACAAAAGGGACCCCCAAGTCCCACAGCTTTGAATCTGGTCGAAGGGCCCAAGAACAAGATCGCCGAACTATTGCAAAAAAATAACGGACATTATATGCCAATGTATAAAACTATGACTTATTATATAAACATACTATATATTACACATGATGTATTGGAATTCTGACATGAAAAATAACAATATCTGTATGTAAATAAATGTACTTCCTCAGCTGAACCTGAACCATCCAGTTAGCCTTTTGTTTCGCACGATCAAAACGCCACGCCATCGCTCGTGGCAAGCGCCACGCCTCAAGGTTGGTGCTGTAGCTCAAGACCTCAAACGCATGCCGATGGAAACGACATGAAACGACCAAAACGAGGAATTCACCGGGGATTCACTGTTCATTCACGACCTGTTCATGTGTTTCGCTGGTGCACTGTTCGGCCATCGAGACTAGACCTCGCTCCGAAGCGACGGCCGTTTGGGGCTTCCGTCAAGCTGGCCTGGACATAGTAAGCCGCGTCCAGGCTGTTGTCTTCGAAGGGCAACGGGTCGTTATAGTTCGCATGCTGGGCAAATGCATCAGTGGGCCGGGCTATTGGTGCTGGGTGATGAGCACAATCGAATCAGCTTGGGGAAGGGAGGGGAAGGGCAGGCTACACACTGTATATACGGAGCCAACTACAAATGCCTCCAAAATCATCCCCAAATATCAACAAACACCTTCACAAACTCATGTGGATGAAACTCATGTAACCCTCCAGTCCTGCCAAGACCTTTCAGCCAAACAAAAGCGAGTCTTTCAAGGAGATGTCTGTAGGATGAAATTCTGCATGGGCATGTCCAACAGGGAATTGCTTATATATTTATCCGCAAGCAATCACCTGGCAAAAATTCCACAGAAGGAAAGCCCTCAATTGCCCTCAACATAGGTTAGGGTCGTGTCATGACTATATAATGATATAAGTATAAATAAGTCAACCATATGTTTTGTTCATCGATGTACAAAATCGTTGGATATCTTATGTTCATGATCTTTCCGGCGGGACCTTCAGACCGGGCAAAATCAAGGGAATGGTCCTTGGATGTGTTTGGGTTCCCACAGAGGGAGATCTTTGGACATGAGGGAGACACTAAGGAGGTACTCCAAGCGAAGCGAAGAACTCTTACCCTGGAAGTCCAGTCATGACTCATTTTACCCCGTGAACACATGGTGGATTCTGACTACCCGGTGGGGCAAGTTATGCGTCAAAACGAGAGTTCTGGGTGAAACAACATGAACTGGAACCCCATGGGGGCGCCTGTAAAGGTGATGGGATGTGATGGGATATCTCAGTTACTGTATCTCCTTTAAGCAGTCACCTAAGGGGGTGATAGATTGTGATTGCATTCCTTCCAGAAAACAGGCATTACATGTTAGAGTGGAACCATGTGGAACCCAAATTTTGGTTCATTCAAGAAGACCACCCAAAAAGGATTCCGACAATCGTCCCAGTCCCTGTCTGGACAAATTGGCAATAATTTTTAAATGTCTATAACTGGTTGGCGACCATCCAATGGGTAAAATCAAACTCATCCGGCTTTGCGTTTGGGAACGAGCAAAAGTTCTCTTCGCTTGTCGATGTGTTTCCGTGGACGGTTTTCTGTTAACTTATATAAATTTAAATAAATATAGAAGTTGGGTATAAAGTTATATAAAGTTACTTATATATACTTAGATAAATATAGAAGTTGGGTGCTTTCCTTCGACACGAGGATGGTCAATCTCGATCAAAGCCCGGAAGAAGCATATAGCCATGGTTGCGTGTTTCAGCCTACCAGCACAGTAGAACAGCAACAATGAAGCCCCCCCGACGAAACAACATGAATGCTGCACCTGGTCCATGGTAAAACTCCATTCTCAACCATAATTTCAACACTTGTCTGAACCAAAAGCCAGAAACAACGCAAGAAGACCACCTTAAGCCTCCCCAGGCGCGCCGCAACAGAACCAGGAGCCGTTGATTTGCGCGCCGAATACCCCCCGCCACGCTCATCTCACAGACCGGGCCTTGAAGTCCAACTGGGATCCGGAGAGCCCGGTCTGCTCCGCGTACTCCACCGCCTGCCCGAACCGGATCCGTGGGACCGTGGACGGAGGTCGGGAGCGGTCTGCACAGCAGGATGGACGTTGGGAGATCACGCCTGGACATGATACTGAAGATATATATATATATATATGAAGCAATGCAAAAACGGCTGGTTCACTGCCTATGCTGGTGGAACTAGATACACAGTACTTACATGCAGCCTGGAATATCGACATTTCAGACACGTCAAATCTGTATACAAACTCTGAAACCCTTCCATCGAGGCCCTCACTACCAGCTGGTCGGATGGTCGTCCGTCCAGTGTTGTCCCTTTTGGTCAGCACGGTGCATCAGCGGTGCAAAGCGTGCCTGCCGCAGTTGCTCCTTGTCGATGTTGAGCCCGGTCACGTGCCTTGTTTGGGCACTTTTGAGGCTCCAGCAGTGGAGGGTCTGAGCAGGGCTTACAGGATGGCCTTTAAATCAAGGCATACTCATATACTGAGTATAAATAATATACAACAATTTAAAACAATTTGACTTTGGTGAAGCAGAATATATCTCCCATTGGACTGTCTGTTTGTATCTGCGAGCTGCATGACTGCCTTTGGGGTGTTATTGCTCATGTTTGACCGGGTTCAAGCTGGATGCTCTAGTGCCATGTTCAAAAAACATGGTGAGACTATGCACTCGTTGTTTAAGACCCAGTTCAACAACCCATTGAAAACCGACCTCGAAGATCCTCGGAGAAGTGATTGCATCACCCACAACTTCAGGACTATGGAGGGGGTCATGGCAGCAAACACTGCGGGAGAGACTTCTATGACCAGCTTCATCACTTGCCTGCGTGGCTACGGAATTTCTTTCTGTGTACTGCAAACGTGTTCAGCGTCAAGAAGCTGGATTTGAATGCATTGCACCCTCAAAACTTGACTAGCTGCAAAAACCTGACAGAAACGGTGGAGAATTTAGCTGGAGCAATCTTGTTGATTTTTCAGGCTGGATCACTTGGGCACTCCGAGGTCGTCCATGGTCCAAACATGCCAAGAACTTCTGATTCTTTCAGTCCTTTCCACCACTGCTAGACAGAATCAGCAACGACCCTTTGCCGCTCAAATGACGCGCCAGTGTAGGACGCCACGTGATGTGCGATGCGTCCTGCAGTGCATCTTCCAAGCTTGGGAAGACTGGGAGTTGAGATGATTGGGCGCTGCAGAATGGAACACAAGAAGCGCTATTAGGTTGGACATCGCGACGAGTAACGAGAAAACTTTCGAGAAACGAGAGAAAATACGAACATCTGGATAATATTCCCTACCTTGTTTCCGGACTCCAATGTCACACCGCCCCCTTGATCACTTTGAAACCCTCCAAACCAGGGCATTGAACACAAAACACGAAGCCCCAAACCAGGGCTGTGGTTGCCCTCCCAAGTCGTCGGTTCATTTCGTTGGTCAACCACAGCCTTTCCGTTTCACCCCACCGTTGGAGGCCATCGCCTCGGCCACAACCGATGTCCACGGCTTTGGTGCCAGGACCCAACTGAAGGAAATCTGCCATCTTTTTCTCATAGAGCTTCTGATTGCTGTACCTCATGTGCTCCGGTGGGATGAGAGCCAAGGGCAGTGCAGTGACAGATCCATGAAACAGGAAGAGATGTTCAGATGTTCAATCTGGTGACGCCTGGGTTTTGGCCGGGAGGCATCCCTTCTTGCAACACAATGATCAAATATGTTGTTTTTAGCATACCCAAGAGGTGGAGCTTAAAGGTGAAGGTATGATAAGGTATGCATAGTTTCAGGGATCCAGCTGTATGATCCCCCTGATCGCATGGTGGATGGGAGTTCGCTGGTGTCACCACGGTTGGTGACAACTCAGTGACAGCGTTTGTCCAAACCAAACCGCAGGCGCCAACGGGCGCAGTTACCACCCTTTTTGGAGATCCCCAATGAATCATCCAGACTCAACAGCGGCCTGAAAAACTCGGTTCCTGAAAAATGCCCCAGTGGGATTCCTGTATCCCACTTGAGTTGTGGTTTGGTGATGTTTGAACAGATATCAAGAGCACCAGGTCTGGTACTGCGGCCTGGCGAACCAGGTCTCCTTCAGCCCAGTCCAGTCCACCAGTCTGTCCACAAGATCCATAGACATCCTGGTCCGATGACCTCCCGCTCCACCACTGAAGACCAGTGGGACCGGGAAAAAAGATCCGCAACCTGAAAGGTGGCGCTAGAGCTAGTGCTAGGGCTCCAAAATATCTCCTAGGATGCTAAGACTGGGACTGGGCTGTCGCCCGGTGTCGCCAGGTGTCGCAGAGCGCCCTGTGTCGCTGAGCGACACATCCTTCGTCTCATCCAGGTAAGGGGGAAGGTACATCTTCCTTATCCAAAGGAGCAGCAGTGGAGTCCAGTTTCTGTGCATGAGATGCACTCAGCGGTGACTTTTTTGGATTTTTGCTGGGTGGGCGAGCGACAAAACGCGGTTCGTTGAAAGCAAGGAGTGAAGCCAAAGCCAGTTACTTGAAGTAGGGGGATAACCATTCCGTTACTGTATGTTGGTTGTGCCGCTCAACAACACTGCCACGGTGACCACAAAGGTCTAGTATATATATATATTTATTTATATATATATATTAATTATATATATGTAGTAATACAAGCTGGAGTACCCACACGGCCGAGTGGCTTCAAGCCAAAGTGCCTTGAGTGTTCAACCACCAAAAGAAAAGTCTTCATTCCACTTGGAATCCAGAGTGACCGGAGCCAAAAAAAGCAGGAACTAGTCTGATGGCTGACAGGTTGAGATTTATGGAAAAGAAAGAGTTGGTTTGAAAACACACTCTCGTACCAAAACCACTTGATGCATCACTCATTTTGCTCATCCCCCCAACACGATAGAAATCCAACCAACATCAAAATGGAAAGGCCAAAGATCAAGGAATCAAGTTCCCAACAAATGGAAGACCAGCTGCCAGTGTTGTGTACAAAGGAATCATCTTTGTGGAAGTAAGATCAGTGGGAGGGAAACTCAATTGTGAGAAAGGAAGGAGATCTCCTTACAAATGCGAGCAAAGGACAAATAGCTTTGGAAACTAATCTCATCATCACTTATTCGAAGTGAACCATCATAACTCAGGCAACTATGGCCTATGGCTAAACTCCGTTCTAAACCACTGGCCTTGAGGTTGGCCACTGCTCAGGAGGGGGTCCCCGTTCTTGAACCTGGAAAACAATAATATCATGAAATATGTACATATATCTCATAAAGAAATAGTTCACTCTTTTGTTTCTTACTCATCAATTCAACATGATCAAAAGCATGTTAGACCGGAACCGAGCGGCTCAAAGTTGCCGATGGCACAGAGGTGGTTCAGCACACCTCGTCGCTTCGCTCGGTTTCGACGTGGCGAAGTCCGTGTGGAATGTCTCTACACCTTGGAGAAGGAATGCTGAGGTAACCTGTCTTGCGAAAAGAAGGAATGCTGATGGTGTCCCAGAAAGAAAACGCATTTGGATGTCGCTTCTGCCCCTTTTCCGCAAAAAGGATCCCGGCGCCCATTCGCAGTGACGAGCACAACCGCTACTACTGCAACCACGATGATGACTACTGCTACTGCTACTGCTACTCCTACGACTACCACTACTACTACGACTACCACTACTACTACTACAACTACTACGACGACTACTACTACTAGTACTACTAGTACTACTAGTACTACTACTACTACTACTAGTAGTACTAGTACTAGTACTAGACTAGTACTAGTACTACTACTGCTACTGCTACTGCTACTGCTACTACTATTACTATTACTACTACTACTACTACTCCTACTGCTACTGCTACTGCTACTGCTACTGCTACTGATGACTACGACCTACTACTCCACCTTTTTTCTCTTTATGTGTCCATCTATGTATTCTTTATTGTTTCCATCTATTGTCCTGCAAATAGTAGGACGCATAGAATGGGTTCTGAGCAAAACAAAGGCACACAGCAATATAATTGTTGAATGTGCTCAACACATTTATGACAAAGGAAAACAACATACAGCCGCAAACACATGAACATGGTAATATGATGTACTGTGATATGTTGAGTTTTCTTATGTGTATTTAATGTATATTGATTTGTTGCTGTGCAACTGAAATGTGCTGTTTCTCTTACCATACGCCTCCCTAAGATTCAAGCTGGTGAGGTGAGGAAATGTCTGCACTCGTCACGGAATCAAACCCAACATGCAGCACGCATGAATATGATCCTGTAGCAATAGACTCTTGTACCAAAAACATATGAACAACAAATCAACAGAACAAATGCTGAGCAAATGACAAACGTAACATCTGCTATCATCCATGTGCTATCTTGGATAGTACCCTCAGGATCTCAGAAGGATACTCCTCCACCTCAGCAAGTGGCAAAAATTAAGATCAGGTATGATAGAATGTCGCCTATGTCTATGTAGGTGTGAAACATTCATCGGAAACGTCGACGAGTCCAGGTAGTCTCAGGTTGCATGTCTCTGACATGTCCCTCTTGAAGCTGGCTTGATGAACATGTAACGGTTGTCTAGGGATCCACATACCTTCTCAGAAGGTACTTGGGACCCTCCAAGCCTACATATATTATCTCCAAACACTCATACAATTGTACAGAAAGATGAGAAGGATAATTGTTCATCTGTCCGTACGTTGGGACCTGATATTATTGTGCTGGTCAAATGTTGCTGAAGCGTACCTAGCTGGTAAACCTGATATAAACTTGAGGCCAGGGGGAGAGGTCGAAAGCTAGCCGAATCGCACCGGATGTACTAGTTACATAGTCGGCAAAGCATGTAGGGATGACATGTTTTGGGAGGAAGGTTGCTATGTACATACTTTGCGCTAAAGAATGTAAATGTGACATCGCTGACTGGGAAGGGTACATTGGAACAACCCGGGTGCACTCGTTGGCAGGCACGAAGATGCGTGATCGGCAAATCTGGGGGGTAAATTTACCCTCCGCTTTTGTATGCCTTGAGTCGGAAAGAGGGGTAAGCATTTCTGACATCATACGGACTGTACATACACTAGGGCGTCCGTAGTGTAGGAGAAGCACGGGTAAAAGGTATATGGAATAGAGTGTCTTGAGGAAATAGCCGGTGTATGGTTATTGCAAATCTGGGGGGTAAATTTACCCCCCGCTTGTGTATGCCTTGCGCTGGAAAGAGGGGTAAGCATTTCTGGCATCACAAGGACTGTGCATACACTAGGGCGTCCGTAGTGTAGGATAAGCACGGGTGAAAGGTAGAAAGAGTAGAGTGTTCTTGAGGAAATAGCCGGCTTATGGTTATGGCAAATCTGGGGGGTAAATTTACCCCCCGCTTATGTATGCCTTGAGCCGGAACGAGGGGTAAGCATCACAAGGACTGTGCATACACTAGGGCGTCCGTAGTGTAGGATAAGCACTGGTAAAAGGTATCAAGAATAGAGTGTCTTGAGGAAATAGCCGGTGTATGGTTATAGCAAGCCTGGGGGGTAAATTTACCACCCGCTTATGCATGCATTAGGTTAGAAATAGGGGTAAACAACTTGTAACGGTGAAGTACAAGTCCTATGCAGCAAGCAGCAGCCAGCAGCAGCAGCAGCAGCCGCCTGCAGCCAGCAGCCAGCAGCAACCACCAACCAGCAGCCAGCCAGCAGCACCACGCAGCAGCAGCGCAGCATCAAGACGCAGCAGCAGCAGCACCACCGGCAGCAAGCACCACCGGCAGCAAGCAGCAAGCAGCAGCAGCAAGCAGCAAGCAGCAAGCAGCAGTAGCAGCGGCGTCGTCAGCAACAGCAGCAGCAGCACCAAGCCGCAACAAGTAGCAAAGCAGCAGCTACAAAAGCGGCAACCAGCGGCAGCAGCAAACAGCAGCAGCAAGAAGCAGAGCGGCAGCAGCAGCAGCACCCTTTACACCAAGCCACCGTTACACCCAACCAACCACGTTCACACGTTC